AAAAATACTGCCGTGTTGTTACTACCACTATGTAGCAGGAGGTAACTGTTAAAAATACTGCCATCTGTTACTACCACTATGTAGCAAGAGGTAACTGTTAAAAATACTGCCATCTGTTGTTACTACTCACTATGTAGCAGGAGGTAAATGTTAAAAATACTGCCCTCTGTTGTTACTACCACTATGTAGCAGGAGGTAACTGTTAAAAATACTGCCATCTGTTGTTACTACCACTATGTAGCAGGAGGTAACTGTTAAAAGTACTGCCCTCTGTTGTTACTACCACTACATAGCAGGAGGTAACTGTTAAAAATACTGCCATCTGTTGTTACTACCACTATGTAGTTTTTAACAGTTACCTCCTGTACTGCCCTGTGTTGTTACTACCACTATGTAGCAGGAGGTAACTGTTAAAAATACTGCCATCTGTTGTTACTACCACTATGTAGCAGGAGGTAACTGTTAAAATATTGTTCTCAGTTGCGACTTCTCTTACATATTCTAAGAGATACTGAGTGAAAAGAAAGTAGAATATTTAATAATATGTCAATCGCACTGCAGATGCCGTGTCCATTACCGACCTTTTGCCCAATACCAGGACTCATAAAGTAGACTGGGATACAACAGACGTAGTATTTGTCTAGGCTCTAACTATATTATTGTACAGAATAACACACAAATATTTATTTTTATTGTTGACACTGAGTATTCATAATTTATATTAATTTACATTGGATTAACTTTATAGAAAACCTGGTGAACCAGCCAACTAGTATTCTTGTTCCTAGAGCACAACGAGCAACCACAATGTCAACAGAAGTAAAACTACATTAGTTTGTTCATTAAATCTTACTTGAGGGCTAGCCATCCCTAACTTAGACGAGGTAGACTAGAGTGAAGGCAGCACCACCCACTGCTAACTCTTGAGTTACCCAAATCAAATAGTGGAATCAACTGTCACATTTTAATGTCCCCACAGCCAAAAGGACAAACATTTTCAGTGATAGGATTGAAATCCACAACCACCAGACTAAGCCAAGACCATTATATTACTAATTATAAGAGCTTATGCTGTAATTCATAACCTCTTCTATCATAGCCGTCATGTTTTCAATAAACTGTCGTATGGTAACGTGAACTTATTCGCTCTAGATACATCTTTCGTAAAGATAAACCAGCTTTCAACACAGATTATATAGTGAAATAGAAAAACATCTTTATTTGAAACTCAGTGAAAGAAAGTAGAACCTATAATGCTACGTAAATAAATCGGTTTATTACCTGCAAAATAATACAAGAACCCAATCTATATGTTTAAACCATCATAATATTCACTACATAAATAATATGCTTCAATGATTATTGGTTTCAGATTAGCAGAAATGGTGATTTAAATAAATAATATCACAACATTAATGACTAGTTAAAATTATCAATCGTATGTTGCAAGAAAAACTACATAAAATCAATAACAAACGGAAATGTTAACAGTCGGAGACTGTCAATAATGTTTCTTGAACAGTCTCCGTTTGCTCCGAATACCACATAACAAAAAAAAATATCTGGTCCGTTTTTCAGGAGCTATAATGAATAAAAACAGTAAAACATCTATCTGTACAAATGTAAACACTACATTAAATGGGAAAATTTATTTCTACAAACAAAAATCACTATCTATTGCACGAAGATACATTACTGTTTTGTTTCTTTTACAACAACAGAAGTTCAGAAGATGGCATTAATACCAACACATATATGAAATATTGGTTTAATTTAGTAAGTAATGTTTTAAATTTCTTTCCAAAATGTGAAACAGTTACTCAAATGTATAATTGAAATTATATATATATATATATATAAATTTAGAAACACAAAACGAAAATGTTTGTCTGGTCAAACATGTCATGCCTAAAATTAACTTTTAAATTAGATTTACTAAAATATACGAAACAAATAAAACAACATTACTTCATGTTAATTAATAAATAACACAGCTACAGCTGAAGTTTACAGAAATCCACTGCTTTCACTAAAATATCCCATGCTACTGAATTTATACCGGGTATCTCATTCATTTCTTATTCTCTTAAGTTCCTCAATGTCCTAAAGGAAAAAAAATGTTGTACGAGATAAACACATCATTACAATTCATTCAAAATGACATTTAATATTTCTTTACACATTTTGTTGGTAGACAGTGTTCGACAAGTCGTAATGATAAGTATTCAACTACCCCATCTAGTAACAAAAACGTTTTTAAAAAGTCTAAAGTTTATTAAAATATGCAATAACCTGATATGGAAATAGCTGTTCATTTAAGTTATTGGTACTGACCTGTTACTCTGGTAGGTAGTCCAAGTTCAAATCTACATCCTACATCCTACTTAGTTCTAGTGTATAGCACCAGGTGAACATTAATTTACCATTATTACATATGAAGCTACATCCTACTTTGTTCTAGTGTATAGCACCAGGTGAACATTAATTTACCATTATTACATATGAAGCTACATCCTACTTAGTTCTAGTGTAT